ACGATCCAGCGAGGAAGCAGCCTCTCTTGCCATCTTAAGTAGTCTGCCAGGATCAGTGTGAATGAGCCACAGGTGTGTGTTCAGGGCGGGTTCAGAGGCGGGGAATCAAGGTCCAGTTCCGCCCTGGTGGGAGAGGCTAAGACAAAAAATAAACACACCACGACCAGACCTTGAGAACGATGACATAAATAATTTGTGTGGCATCAGATTTGATGCAGAACAGCTGATTGTTCTGTAAATAGTTTGAAATGTTTATTTAAAAAAACACCTTGGCTGCATTTAAAAAAAAATAGCTGCAAAAAACGTTGTTGTTTGCATAACTCAGTTACTTTTTTGAAGAAGTAACTATATAATTAACTGCCCAACATTGGTCATTATTTACTGTATGTTGCAGACAGAGTTACAGACTCTCTCCCAGACCACAGACTCATAATACAAGTCAGAGCTTTATTTTAAAAGAAAGAAAGAAAGAAAGTTTTGTTTTCAAAATTGGAGTTCAAGTTATTTTTACTTCCAATAGTGTTAACATGCTGCACAGGTCATGAACAAGATTTTTTAACATTTTCATTGTTAAGCAGTTAATTAAAGATAGTCTAACTAACTTGGATGGATTGGATGCTGGCGTGACCACAGTGCACACGTCTGCTGTTGCTCACAGTGGTACCGCTCAGGGAGTTTGTGCGTTCGCTCAGACACATGAAACATTAGAGGGAACATTGAGTGCCGGCTTGACACCAGGTAACCATTTATTTGTTTGTTTGTTTGTTTGTCAGAGTGTAAACTCACTCTCTGGGTAGTAATCACTTTTAAGGGAATAGCATTGTATTTATTCATTCGGTTTTCTTTTTGTACATGTATTCATGTTATTTATTTAAATGGTTAGAACCTGGTACCAAAATGTACATAACAGTCATAATAAAATTAATCAAGTTTACTCAGAAAGTTTACCATGTCCTCGTCACTCTGAAGCCTATTTTAATATTAAATAGCTATAGCAACATGTTGACCTTCGATTTATTGACATTGACGGAGAGGTAAGAGATCAACTGTGACAAGATATTTTTATTATTATAAATACCTAACACAGTAATAAGAATCATAGTTTCCACGTGATAAGGTTTGTTTGTTTTTTGTTAATTTTTGACCAACATATAATTGAAATGATTTTGAGGACCTTGGTGGATTAAGTCAAATTTTAATGGATTGTTAACATAACCGCACTCTTCATTCTTAAAAAGTTTATCAGAATTCAAACTTAGAGCTATTGTATTTACACACAGACAGGATGACATACGTGTAAACACTGCCAAAAACATAACCTCTGTGGCAGAGCCATTTCTGAGTCTGTGGCAGTCTCTGGATTGTGAGTCTTACCCTACAGCTGTGGGAATTATTCAGCAGTCTTAGAGCACGGTTCTTATTTGGAACAGGGTGATGTGGGTACTATGGGTCTAGAACAAACGGAGAACTTTAAGTATAGTAATTAGTATTAGTGACTGAAAGAATGACATTGTGGTTTCACATGGTGGAAATGAGCTTCCTCAAAAGCTGGTGTTTGGGCTCTTGATGGTGAGAGAGAGTGAGGATTTTAGTCATCAACTTCTGTGGGCATCTGACTAGGATCCACCTCCACTGCAGACCGAGGACACATTGGAGAGATCATATCTCTCGACTGGTCTGAGAACGCTTCAGTGTCTCCCCCACATGAACTGCAGGAGGTGGCTAGGAAGAGGAAGGTGCATGTCAAAGTACAACCAAGTCACAATGTTGACAGAACTGCCAGTAGACCCATGAGAAGGGAGGTGTTTGTTTGTTTTTGCTTTAAAAAAAA